GTTCCACATTTCCTGAATCCCCTTCTGGTGTCCCTGGTTCCACATTTCCTGAATCCCTTCTGGTGTCCCTGGTTCCACATTTCCTGCCTCCACCCTCTGTGATGCTCCTGGAGACCCAGAGCCATCATGTTGATCAGGATTTTCAAACCAACGCTCTGCATGCCAGGGACAGAACAGTGCCAGCCTCCACCTTTGGGTCTTTCCACGGGARATGTTTTGGCTGGGTTGGACTGGGCAATGTTTGTTCTTCAGGGCGGGTATTGTCCTKAATTTCCGTGCCATGTGTGGGGTTGGCCATTTAACAAAGATTTAACAAAGAGAAGATCCCTCAGTGCTGTCTGTGTCGAGTGGAATTAGCATCCAAAAGGAGCTCTGAGCTGCTTTGTTCTCCTGTCCTGTCAGAAACACTGCGGGAATGGCAATTTTTGTTCACTGAGTCTGTTTCTTATGTAGATTTGGAGTGGCCTGATTTTCCTCCCCAGCTGATTTGTTCCTTAGCTCACATTTTCGTGGCAGTTGGACCTGGGAGTCAGGGGTGAGCTGGGTTCCACCTGGATCCGTGTTTGGGTGCCCAGGGATGCTGTAAATAAAGCAGGGTTTGTTTGAAATCCCCGCTGGGTTTATTTGAAATCCCCATTGGGTTTGTTTGAAATCCCCGTTGGGTTTATTTGAAATCCCCGTTGGGTTTCACTCCTTGGCAGCATCACCCTGATTCCTTTTGCAGCTGATCTTGCTCATGAAATAAAAACTCTGCTATTATGGAGTGATAAATGAAGCAGAGCAGGGTGAGATGGGATGTGCCAGTGGAATTGGAGATGAGGGAAAGAGCAGCCCAAAATCCAGCCAGCAAAATCTGCCCTTCCCCACTGCTGCCTCAGGGTGCTCAGCCATCCAAACTCTGCTCTGTAGGAACACTCCTGCTCTTCTGCAGGCTGTGCTGAGGGKTTAAAAAGCAGAATATCAGCTTCCTTCCCTTCTGGTCCGGGCTGTGTGTGAGTGTGAGTGTCAGAGAGCCCCGCTGGCAGGAAGCACCATGTGTAATTTGCTGTTAATCGCAGGATTATGAGGATAAACAGAGGCTGCTGCCTGACAATGTTCTSTGGTTAATCAGCTGTAATCTCAGCAGCATTAATAACTGCAGTGCTCACCCATGGTGTCCCACATGAGCATCCCAAGGGGCTGCAGTGAGTTTGGGRTGCTCACTCAGTGTCCCTGCATTGTCTGTGCTGGGTGAAGCTTCACAGGAGGGATTTCCTTTGCATGTCCCACTAAACCCTCCAATTGGAACATAAATGGCATTTCTGTGTCAGTCCTTCAGCTCTGACTGGTGCTGTGTTTGTGTGAGGGACAATCTGAATGCTGAGCTGTGATTAACACCGTTCTGGGACGCTCCACTCACTGAGTTTTCAGCTGCAAACAGGACCATTCTCATGACCTCAGGCTTCCATGGATTTCTCTTGATAACACCATCTAATCGGATTTGGAGTTTAATTAAACAGCTGTCACTTTGCTTCCTCATTCTGCCACAATTTGATGTTGAATTAGTTCCTGAATTAGTCATGGCCGAATGCTTGCCTTCTCACCATGGAGAGGTTGGATGAGCAGCAGCTTTGCTCTCCCAAGCAGCTGAGGCTCCTGCTCCGTGTTCTGCTCTTTGTGCWGAGCTGCCAGGGCGAGTTCCAGGGCTGGGATAAACCTGGGATTGCAGCAGAGCCAGCCCTGGCCTTTCCTAACTCTGAGTGAGCACAGTGAGCTCCTCAGCTCTGCTCCAACATCTTGGCTTCAGGGCGTTATTTCCCCTAAGAAAAAGCTGATTTTTCTGCAGTTTGCAGTGCAGTAGCAGGGCTGTGGAAGGAGATGTTCCTGCTGCTGGTGGGCTCCATCCAAATCACCCCTGCCAGGGGATGGTGCAGGGTTATGGAGCTCTGAATTGGAGCAGCAGCTCTGAGGAGAAAAGCTTGCACATTCCTGGAGAGTGGGGACATTGCATGCAATCCTGCCAATGCATTTAAGTCATTTCTTATGCACAAAATTCAGTGATTTGCTTGTGAATCTCTCCTTTGATATCTCCTTTGATATCTCCTTGAGTCTGCCCACTAGAGTTTTCCTCTAATCGTTAGCAGAAAAAGCAAAATTGTTCTTCAGTTATGCTGTTTGTTAATTAAATATATTGAAATAGTGATTATTTCCTTTGTATGTTGTATTGATTGAAGGGATGCCCTGGTAAAGGAAAGGACCATCCTGACTGGRAGTTTGTAGATGCTCCTCAAACAGGGAATCAGCTCTGCTCTGCAGTGTCACAGTCAGATGTTGCTGGGATTTGGGCATTGTGCTGCCAGGACAGTTGGAGCCTYCCAAAGCTCAGATCTGCTTTGTTTCCATGAGGATTATCTGGGTAGCTCTCCATTTCCACTTTGGAAGTGCCAACCCTGGCTTTTTTAGAGTCTGTAATTCCCTCAAAGAAACTTCTTTCTGACCTGGATATTGATGCTTACTTACAGCTCATCTTCTTTCTGTTTTTTCAATTTTCTCTACTTTMCTCAATTTTGAATTTCCTGGAGAACAAGCCCAAACATTTCCATCAGATGCTTTCAGGTTTTTTTTGTCACACAAAATAAATTCGGTTTTAAAACTTTAGTTGCTGCCTGCACAGAAAGTAGATTAGTTCTTGGGGGATTTTAAAAATTAAAGAATGTGGAAATGGCCAAGATACTGTGATTCTGAAAAGTGCCTTCACTTCAAATGAATTTTTTTCATGTCTCTGAGAGTTTCTCAGTAATGCTGTTTGTGTACTCCCAAATTAGGCTGCAATCAGGGCGTTTAAAAACGAGACCTGTGCTGGCTGCTGTTCYTGTGCTGCTGGCAGAACAATTGTTTTGTGATGTTTGGCAGGTTGGGATGCTGCTGGTGCTCCCCCAGGATAACCAGGGCTGTGGCAGGAGGTGGCAGAACGCAGGGAAATAAATTTGGGTGCTGAGCAGAGCCCCAAAGGTGCCTGGGGCTCACCTTCAGGGTGCTGCTGCGCAGACAGACAGACAGACAGACAATCTGTTTGAGCTCCTTTATTCTTCTCTCTTGAGGAGTGGTGGGCCCTGATGCTTTCCTGTACAATTCAGGTTTTTCTGTCACTATTTTTGTGTGGTGCAGACACAGGGCCAGCTCTCCCTGCATTGCCTTGGGCTTTACTGCAGCAATAAAAAAGGAACACAGAAGAGGCACAAATTGTGCCACGAGGCTGTTCCACATGCAGGGATGTGGGATACGTGTTTCTCTATTTCAGTTCTAAACCAAAAAGACAATAAACTCAAGGCTTTGTTCTTTGGTCTTTATTTCTGGTTTGTTGTAACTCTCACAATGAAATCAAGGTTTTGTTCTTGGTGTTTATTTCTGGGTCTGTTGTAAATCTCACAGTGAAATCAAGGCTTTGTTTTTGGTGTTTACTTCTGATTTTGTTGTAACTCTCACAATGAACTCAAGGCTTTGTTCTTGGTGTTTATTTTTGGTTTGTTGTAGCTCTCACAATGAAATCAAAGTTTTGTTCTTGGTGTTTATTTTTGGTTTGTTGTAGCTCTCACAATGAAATCAAGGCTTTGTTCTTGGTGTTTATTTCTGGTTTTGTTGTAGCTCTCACAATGAAATCAAAGTTTTGTTCTTGGTGTTTATTTCTGGTTTGTTGTAGCTCTCACAGGGCACTCAGAGCTCTGAGTGGCAGAGCAGAATTTATAGAGGTGGCTCCTTAAAGGTCAGGAATTCCTTGGAATGGCCTTGGATATTCCAATAATAATAATAATTAAAAATCTGCCTCTAATTTAACGTGTTGGGTAGCTTTATCTTACATACAACAGGAATGATTTAGGGTTCTTACATTTCTAGAACAGTCAACATTCCTTTTTTTAGCATTTTCTTTTAAGTTTGATGGGATTTCTTTTGAGAGCTGTAGGAGAACCTGAGAAATAACAAGTTGCCAAATAGATGAAAAGAAAATCTGACCTAAATTTCAAGCTCACTAAACTTGAATTGAAAACAGTATCAACAGCATCAGTGCCCCATTTTGCTGCTGTTGACATCAGTGGCTGCAGTCYTCATGACTTCAATGCTGAGGAATTTGCTGAATATTTTATTCACTTTATATTGAAAGTTGGAGAAAACTTTGAAGCTCTTCCTGCTTGGGAATCTTGGGAATATGGTGATGGTGAAGTAGTTGAGGAGTTCCAAGTGTGAGCCTGGTCAATGGAGCATTGAAAGGTTTTTATATGCCGCAACCCCAGCTCAAACGGCAGATTTCCTCGTTATTTTTCCTGCAGTTCACAGCATCACTAACTCCTTCTGGATTCCTTACATTGCCTCATTGGCCATATCACAGGAAATTAAATAACCTTGAAACAGTTCCAGACACAGAGTTCACAGAGAGGCCCCGTCTTTGCGATGGGCTCTGTTCAAAGAGCAGCATTTTTACTTTGGGGGCTCTGCTGTCCTTACCCAAACACGGCCAGGGGAGTCTAACTCTGAAATCCCATCAGTACAAACTGTGAAATCCCATCAGTACAAACTCTGAAATCCCATCGGTACAAACTCTGAAATCCCATCAGTACAAACTCTGAAATCCCATTTGGGAGGGTGAACATTGGGAATAACCCCACGTGTCTCAGAAGCAGGAGATGGTTGTGATGGTGCTGTGTAACAGTGTGGTTCTGCCTGGGTTTATTGAGCAGATAAAACCCTGGGGTTTGGGGATGACTGAGATGCTCACCCTGCAGCCCCAGTGAGCAGAGCTGTGCTTTGTGTTGCTGCAGGACACGGAGATCCTGAACACAGCAATCCTGACGGGCAGAACCGTGGCTGTGCCTGTCAAGGTGGTGTCCATCGAGGAGAACAGCGCTGTCACCGACATCTCCGAGGCCGTGGAGTGCAAATCCTCGGGGGAGGAYGTCATCAAGGTGAGTTCTGAATGTTCCTGTGTGAGAAACAACCTGGGAATGAGCTAAATCAGCTCCTGCAAATTAATCGTGCTTGTGTTTCACAGGAGAGGGATTTTTGGGATGAGTGAGGTGCAGCAGCACCACCACCACACTGACTCATTTCTATCTGTGTCCTCATTTTAAAATGTTTTTCCTGAGGTAGTCACATATAAATCAAAGTTAAAACTGAAATTTAGTGTAGGGATCATCCTGATTGTAACCTTACTGGAAGCCACTTCCCCGAGGAAGCAAAAATACAAGATAACATTGACAAATAATGAAAAATCAGAAAAGGGCTATTGTGGTTCCATCTTGCTTAAACAGCTTACAAAATTTCACCAAATAATTCCACCCCCATGGAGATTTCTCCATTCCAGCAGTGGAAAGGACCAGTATTAAGTTATTCCTCTCAGAGAAACACTCAGGTTAGGGAAAAAAAAAAAAAACCCAAACATATATGTGATTTGTAATRCACCACCAGATGATGCATAGGAAATGACAGCATTATTATTTCTCAAATAAAAATCCTTCTGGAAAAAAAGGCTTCTGGGTTTTCTAGCTTTGGAGCACGTTGATCAAGAAGAAGTGGAATTCCCAAGCCTGACAAAAAAGAGCTTGTGTTCTTGCAGTAATTGCAGCACAGCCTGGGCTGCTGAAGTTCTCCAGCAATTTATTTGGAAAGAACAGTTTCCTGGAGCCCTGAGCTCTTTGATGAGCACTTGGGGCCCTGCTGTGCTCGTCTCTTATTTTCAACAGGAATAATTTGTCTCTGCTGGAAGGGATCGGTAAAAGGAGCCTGTTTGCACAATCACAGCGTTGGCAAGTGGCTCCCAGAGCTGCCCCTTCTGAAAYGGAACAGAAACAAAGAGCTGCAGCTTCACACACAGCATTTATTGCAATCAGCCGGGGACACTTTGCAGTGTAATTCTCTTCAGAGCTGTTTGGAATTGCTCAGAGCTGTTTCTGTGTGTTCAGGAACACGAGCAGAGCCTTTGTAGGGTGTGGCACCAGTGCCAACTGCTCTAACACCTCCAGGAAAACACAGCTCTGCTAAATGCTTGGAACAAAGAGGTTTTCTCATCTTATCATAAAGCAAAAAAGGCTTTTTAAATTCTTTTTTCCATCTAGAATGTTGTTGTTTCCAGGAAATTTCTTTCTTTRCACGGGGAAGTGGTTTGGGGTTCAAGGCAAATTGACATCTTCAATTGGTTCTGATTTTAAAAAGCACTCAGCTTCAAATGAGCACAGAGGCCTTTCATCCTTAATTCATCTTGAAWTTCCCCATCAGGCTTTTATGTAAAATTCTTTAGAAATAGCATCTTCCTCTGTGAAATCCTGGTGTAGAGACCTTGTTGGGAATAACCTTTCTGCTTCAAACTAAAACCCAGTCATCATAAATTATGTCTTTTGGGCAAAGCCCATGGTACAAGGGCTGTGTGCATGAGTTTGTAGTTCTTTTAAAGCCATGTAGATTACTTTAAACCACAAACTTAGGRRAAAAAAAGGGAGTTATTGATGAGAGCTATTTAATACTCACATTATCATCCAGAGGTTCAGGTGGATATTTTTGTTTGCTTTTAGTTGTGTGCAATTTCTGGTAACTTTGGGTTCAGGCAAAGATGCTCAGTGCCTGACAGCACCTGGAATATTGATTTGATATCAAAGAAATGTCCTTTGTGTGGTTCATGTACAGGCAGTGCTTGTCCCAGCCATCAGATCAAAGCTTATTTATATGAATTTTTGCAGTTACATTGTTCTCAGTGACAGAACCCTGTGGAAATCTCAACTTCAGCTGTACCTGCAGAATGCAGGTAACAGTGTCCCAGTGATAATTGTGGTCCCAAGGCAGCTCAGGGCACAGTTTGTGTCCTGTCTGAATGTGCTGACTCCCACTCCTTTGACATTTTTTATTGTCTCATAGTTCCCGGTTTTTACTTCCAAATTTACAGCTGATTTCATGAACTTTAAATGCCTTKGAGTGCTCTGGACCTTCACACCGGGGTCCAACCTTTTAAAAGCGGACACAAAATTTATTGTGGCACTAAAAAGGAAGCAAAAGCCAAATTTTATTTGGCTGGGCTGGAATTTCCCAATCGAATCCATGTGTCTGGATCCATCAGCAGTGGTTGCAGTTGCATTTTGCAGTWGCAAAGGGAAGGTGCTGCTTTTGCTGATGTTTTAGTGCAGTTTGCTCAGGAGCAGACCCTGCTCAGGGCTCTGGGGTCACTGGGCTGAAGGAGAAGCTGTGGTTTCAGGAGCTGCAGTGTCCTGGACATTTCCAGCCCTGGAAATGCTCCTGAGGGTGCAGGTATCCCGAGAGTCACAACAAATCCTTCCTGTGAAGGTTTGTGTTTCATCTGCAGGTCCAGTTCCCTCTGATCACACCCAAAACAGCCTGAAAGGGCTCAAAAGCATCTCCTGAGARCCCAAACCCAGCATTCTGATCCTCTGATGGGTCCTGTGTGAGCTCAGGGTCATTTGTGGGAAACTGAAAAGCTTTAAAAGCAAGGCACAAAGGCTCAGCATGGAAATGCCATTGTTTGAAGGTTTTTCTTCTGGCAAATCTGTTACTTTGTGTTCTGGACAGAAGAACAAAGTCCAGCTCCTTGCCCTCCTCCATAGTTCTCGTGGTTTACTGGGATCAATCTGCATCAGCAGAGCAGAAAAGCTTGAGAGGAGCTTTATGAAAATGGAGCTTCACCCCACACTTCTGTCAGACACAGACAGAGCACAGAGGGCAAGAGCAGGTGGGGATTACACAGGAGATGCTGTGTCAGAAATGGTCACCCCATTTCCCCAGCAGAAAAACTCCCCCCACAGCAGAAAACCTCCCCCCACAGCCCCTGTAGAAATTGAAATTCAGAATTGGCATGGACTGGGATACATTCAGCAATAAAAGTTGTAAACGCCATCACATCACAGGCAAACATTCCAAGGGCAGCTGAAGAAACTCCTGAACCATATCCTGTCCCTGTCAGACCTTCAGCCAGCTCCTGCCTGCATTAGGGATGTTGGAATGGAGACCCCAAATGAAACAGCAGAGCAGCAAAAACAGCCCCTGAGGCTGCACAGAAAGCACTGCACAATCACAGTCAGAGCAGCAATATCAGGAGAGTGAATGGGACACACAGCCCCAGCCTTGTGCCAGCTGCAGAGCTGAGGGAGGRTGAGCAGTTTGCCACAGAACAGTCTGGAAAATGCAGCCAGAAGAGAGGAGGACTTGCTTTTACTTTCCCTTTCTACCCCTGGTTGTAATTTACACACTGTGAGTCTGTGTGGTGTAGTACACACTGAGTTAGGAAATGCCAGGCCCTGGGATGTTCTCAAATGCACAACTACTGCCCAAACTGGGTGGATGGAATGGAAAGTCATTTCACCCTGGGATCCTGCTTTGCCAAACAAGATATTTGGGGCCGTGCTGCATATATGGGCTGGCATATCCCCCATGAGCAGGAGCCAKGCTCGCTGTTTGTCCCCATTTCCAYAAATTGCTTGACTGGAGAGCGCACAAAGCAAGGCAGCTTTTGGTTTGTGTGATAATGGGAGCTGCAGAGAGCTCCTGTGGCTCAGCMCAGCTCCAGCTCAGCCTCCAAAGCCGGGCTTTTGGGAGCAGGGAGATGCCCCCCGGGCTCAGCTGGCATTTTGTGCCCCTTTTACTCTCTCAGTTCTGTCGCAGTGAATGATGTTCAGTGAGTTCAATGTGCTGCTGCTGCTGCTCTGCAAAGCTGCTGCTGAAATCTTGGTAATGAGATTAGCTAATGTACAGCCTTTTCCCTCAGAAAAGCTCTCTAGCTTTGGGGGGTTTCTGCTTAGTTTTGCTAATCTGGCTGCTGATACTGAAAATGCAGACCCAGCTCAGCAGAGAGAGCCCAAATTGTGTCAGAGAGGGGCTCTGATTTTGCAGAGTTCCCCTGCTCGGTGCTTGGCTGTGTGAGCTGCAGATCCTTCCTTTTTAGGGAGGCATGGAGCTTCAATCAGCTCATAAATTCATTTATTATAATAATTTATACCTGCTCCCTGTGCTCAGAATGGGAATTGTTCCCCAGCTGTTTCAAGAGACAGATCCATTCTTGGGGTGGGTCATGGGTAGAAAGAGCTCTCAGGGTTTTTCTTGTTTGTCCTGTGAAAGACTCCATCCTTTCAGGTATTGAGATGGCATGGATTGATTCCAGCAGTGCTCAGTGGGCAGGGCTGTGCTCATTTTTGTGCTGGGAGGAGGCTCCTGCCTGCAATTCCCTGAGTTTCAGGGGTGGCTCCATCAATGAGCAGCTCCTGGGATGGAGCTTTCCATCCCTAAAGCTGCTCTGACAGTGCCACCGAGCTGAAAATATCATGGAACAGCTCAGGTCTGAAGCTCCAACTTTTATCAGACTTAAACAGTTTAATTGGAAAAAATGAGGAGTATGGGCCTTGAGACAGCTTCAGTTTTCCACAAGGTTCCTGATTRTTCAGGATTATGCAGCAGGCATTGAAATCCTCCTTATGAAGTGTTATGTTCCTGTAGCAGAGGATTTCCTTTGTGTGTGAGACTGCAGTGTTTAATTGGAGAGCTACACCGAGTCTSCCTTTCAAAACCTGCAGAATTTAATAGAGGAGAATTCCCTTTCCACAGAGGCTGCTGTAAAAATGGAATCTTAGGAGGAATTCTATAGCAAGGACATGAATATTACAGAATCCTAAAGAATTGCCTGAAGATCTCGTGGGATGATTGCTGCTGTCTGACATTCCCATATTTCTGTGGTGATCCTGGTGCTCTGTATTCCATGCTGGAATGAGKGGCTGCTCCCAAAGTTTGACCTCCACGAGCTCTTTTTGCCCTCCTGGAGTGTCAGAGGATGACTCTGGTGGATGGGAAGTGCTGAGCACACTCTTCTTTACTCATTAGCCTGTAATTTTTTTTATTCACTGAAATTGAGATTCCTTTAAGAGACACTGGGAAAAGCTCTCTGCTCATAGAAGTGCTGTCATAAATATTTAAACATTTATGTAACCTTTGAATATTTTAGCAACATTTACATTAGTGTAACAGGAATGGGTAAATGGGTTTACACAGAAATGTGAGATTCTGGACCCGATGAACACGAGCAGGACATCTGCTTTTACCAAATCTCCTCATTTCTGCTCRGTCCTAAAACCAGAAAATGGACTGATGCCTCACAGTTTTTCAGTCTCCATAAACCTGACAGCATTGCTGCATCCAAACCTTCTSTTTTTGTCCTTCTGCACTGTCCTTCAGAGGCTGGGCTGATATCTGCAGAGGTGAGAATAAACAAACTTGGGCTGGGATAGGCTCACAGAGGCAACCACTCATTTATTTCAGGTCTTGGAGTTGTCATTCCTTCCACTCCTGTGTGCAGCAGGTAGGAACCACAACAGGCAGAGCCTTGAGTTCACCAGCTTTTGAAATTTGTGCTTTGAAAAACTCCCTGACTCCAGCAGGAACTGAAGCAAGATTGCTCAGGAGCTGCAGTGGGATTTAACCCAGCAAACCCAATGTTCTCCAGAGGTGCCAGCAGCCCCAAATGCCAGCCTGTCACCTCTTTTGGGGTCACCAGTGCAGAGGCCATGGGGGATCAAGGCTTTAATCTGACACAAACAAGTGAAGGACGACCCAGAGGTTCTGCATTTCACATTTTGTTGATGCCAGGTGAGAGGGACATCCCCTCCCCACATCACAAATGCCACAGGTGGCCATTCAGGAGTGACTCTCTCCTATTTCCAGGCAGTAGTTTTCTCTGTCAGCTCAATAAAATGTGATTTGTTGCACAGAGAGAATCTGTCCAAGTCGTCTGGAGAGGCAATGGCCTTTGTTCCAAGGAGGCACAAAAATRTAATGCCAGAAAAGAGACAAAGAAGAAGCCTCCAGGGAATCGTGCTTAGCCCTGTCTGCTTCTGTATTTTAGTTTTAATCTGGAGCAAGAAGTTAGGAAAATAGAAAAAAAAAGGGGAAAGTAGCTGAATGCAGCTTAATAATGAAAGAAACTGCTGAAATAGCATCAGAGAGCTCTTTAAAATGCAAAACTTCTTGCTGATCTGCTAAGCAGGAAAGAAAAAACCCAATCACTTAAAGGTGGTGGCTAAGCAGGCTTTCCCTTCATCATTGCTCACTTCTTCTGATGCCGAAGATAAAAAGCACTTTCAGAGGGAAGATGTTTTCATAGTAAAAGCAGAAATACTCCAGGAGATGAGAGACACATCACTGCTCACAGAGTCTCCAGTTTCTGCTGGAAACTTCCTTGAACTGTTGTGGGCAGGACCCATAACTGAGATTGTCCCTGCCAGAAACGTGGGCAAAACCCCAGGGGAAAGCAGGAGAATACTTTCATCTGTCACAAATCCTTAAACAAATACACTTTTTTAATTAAAGAAAAAGATTTTGAGTTCTAATGTGACCCTTTTTTTTTTTTTTTTTTTCTGCCTTCTATCCTTCCTCCATGATTCCACGTGGCATTGCCTTTGGTTGTCCCCACCAGCCCCGTGTTTGCAGCTTGTTTTACCCCACAGGAGAGCAGATCAAAGCACTTGTGCAGTGAGGAACTGCAGAACTGAGTTGTCTGTGCTGTTATTTCCACCTGAGTTAATCTGAGCTGTGGCTCTGCTGAGGCACCACACAACCTGAACCCTTTTGTTTTTTTGTGAGGAGCATTTGCTCAGCAGCTCAGAATTTACCTGGGCCTTGCTGCTGTAGATTGCAGCAGGGTCTGGATTTGCTCTCTGAGGCTCAGGAGTCTCATTTGTTTATTTTTTGAGAGAAGGGAAGCAAAGCCAGCCCCTTGCTCTCATTTTCCTGTGCTGAGGTGAGGTTTGTGCAGAGCTGTAGGTGTTGGGTGGCTTTACCTGAACATTTTGAGTGTCATTAACCCACGTGGGATGCAGAGATCCTTTCTCTCCTGCATTCCCTGGGTTGGGAAGTGCTGCCTTTCTCTGTCAGAAGGAACGGATGTCACTCCAGGATGGATTTTGGGAGCAGTTCATTCATTCTGCAATGCAGGGACACAGCACAGTGTGAGTTTGCTCCTCCTGCCCTCTCCATGTGCTGCTCTATCAGGGGGCAGGAGCAGAAGGATCAGCACTGTGGGGACATCAGCCCTGTGGGGACTTCAGCACTGTGGGGACATCAGCCCTGTGGGGACATCAGCACTGTGGGGACATCAGCCCTGTGGGGACATCAGTCCTGCTTGTTCTTGGGGCAGACAGGAATGGTTTTCACAGTTCAGCTCCTCAAGACCTGCCCCTGTATCTGATGCAATCCCAGTGATAAATATCAACCACAAAAAGGCTTTGTGGGGCTGCTGAGCCGCCTCCTTGGGATGCTGCAATGTCCTGTTTGGCCATTTGTTTGTGGCCTCCCCAGGAAGGCTTAAAGCAGCTTTACAAATACGGATGGAGATTGGATCTCAGCCCAGAACCATTTCGGAATTGCAGTTTTGCTACTGTTGTGATTCTTTTTCTTTCCCCAGCAGTTAGATTTGTTCAGTTGCTGACAGCATGGAGCTTTAGACAATATAAAATCATACATCTGAACCGGAGCTGACCAGTGTGAAGCTGAGTATGTTGTCAGAAATCTTTTATCAGCACACGCAGTTGGTTTGCAATGTGCATAAATAAGCAACTTGCACAACTAAAGCAGAAAGTTCATTTTGTCTTTGGGTTGAACTCTGCAGAAATGGGTGGGATGGACCCATCTTCAGGACAGCTTCCTAGGGAATGAGGCACAGAAATGTTTGCATTATGTTCTCAGAAGTTTCTTTTTGCAATCTCATCATCAGATATTTTACCAGAATATGAGCAGTGCCCAAAGCCAGGAGAGGATCCAAATGGGGTGTGTGTGTCCAAAACTGGGAGCAGTTCAGCTCCTGCATCCACAGAG